TATCAATAAAATCCACCTTGATTTAAAAAATAATAACGGTAGGCGTACAGTGAGCTTGTGAGGTAGTGATCCATCTTTTGAGTCATGAACAGCAGTTCTCTTCATCCATATCAGCAAATGTTTCAGTGCTCCATGGACGTAGAACAGACGGTACAAAGTTGATAGTCTGCGGCGTGGCTCTACCACATAGCCCCAGTGTTCCTAGTTAGTAGAACAGACGGTACAAAGTTGATAGTCTGCAGCGTGGCTCTACCACATAGCCCCAGTGTTCCTAGTTAGTAGAACAGACGGTACAATGTTGGTTGTCTGCGGCGTGGCTCTACCACATAGCCCCAGTGTTTCTAGTTAGTAGAACAGACGGTACAAAGTTGATAGTCTGCGGCGTGGCTCTACCACATAGCCCCAGTGTTCCTAGTTAGTAGAACAGGCAGTACAATGTTGGTTGTCTACGGCGTGAATCTACCACACGGCCCCAGTGTTCCTAGTTAGTAGAACAGACGGTACAAAGTTGGAAGTCTGCGGCGTGACTCTACCACATAGCCTCAGTGTTCCTAGTTAGTAGAAAAGACGGTACAAAGTTGGAAGTCTGCGGCGTGGCTCTACCACATAGCCCAAGTGTTCCTAGTTAGTAGAACAGACAGTACAATGTTGGTTGTCTACGGTGTGGCTCTACCACACGATCACACTGTTCCTAGTTAGTAGAACAGACGGTACAATGTTGGTTGTCTACGGTGTGGCTCTACCACACGACCCCAGTGTTCCAAGTTAGTAGAACAGACGGTACAATGTTGGTTGTCTACGGTGTGGCTCTACCACACGGCCCCAGTGTTCCTAGTTAGTAGAACAGACAGTACAAAGATGGAAGTCTGCGGCGTGAATCTACCACACGGCCCCAGTGTTCCTAGTTAGTAGAACAGACGGTACAATGTTGGTTGTCTACGGTGTGGCTCTACCACACGATCCCACTGTTCCTAGTTAGTAGAACAGACGGTACAATGTTGGTTGTCTACGGTGTGGCTCTACGACACGACCCCAATGTTTCTAGTTAGTAGAACAGACAGTACAATGTTGATTGTCTACGCTGTGGCTCAACTACATAGCCCCAGTGTTCCTAGTAAGCAGAACAGACGGTACAATGTTGGTTGTCTACGGTATGGCTCTACCACACGACCCCAGTGTTCCTAGTTAGTAGAACAGACAGTACAATGTTGGTTGTCTATGGTATGGCTCTACCATATAGCCCCAATGTTCCTAATTAGTAGAACAGACAGTACGATGTTGGTTGTCTACGGTATGGCTCTACCACATAGCCCCAGTGTTCCTAATTAGTAGAACAGACGGTACAATGTTGGTTGTCTACGGTATGGCTCTACCACACGACCCCAGTGTTCCTAGTTAGTAGAACAGACAGTACAATGTTGGTTGTCTATGGTATGGCTCTACCATATAGCCCCAATGTTCCTAATTAGTAGAACAGACAGTACGATGTTGGTTGTCTACGGTATGGTTCTACCACATAGCCCCAGTGTTCCTAATTAGTAGAACAGACGGTACAATGTTGGTTGTCTACGGTGTGGCTCTACCACACGACCCCAGTGTCCCCATGATGACTAGAACAGACAGTAGGAACGCGTAGTTTAATCTGACACATTCCAGACCTGTACTCATACAGGACAGACTTGGCCTTAATATCGATCCTTCTCCGCGTGGTATCATCCAACACCAAGAGTCAAGTCAAAATAATACGATTTAAATTTTAATTTTAAGGTAAAATGTCACTCGCGCAGTGCGAAGGAGAGTCCATTTTTGCTATCGGTAAAAATAACAACCTACTGGTCACTTAAGGGAACTTTCAGTTTAAATACACATGTTATTTCTGTGATGATATTGTGAAAATATTGATGGAAGAAATTTTGATTGTAATGTAGAATTTGAGAAATAGTGTTTATTTTCATTGTGACCCTGTTTGATATAGTCTCAAAACGACTTTTGTAATAATTTAAGGGGCCCACGATATACATAAACTATTTGTTTTTATAAGAATATTAATGATGTTTTTTGTTATGCATGACAGCAATGCATGTCAAATTGTAGAATGTATGGCGACTGAAATCATGTCGTGCTTTGATAATGCGATATTTATATTCTAAAATTAGCAATGTTAGAATAACCGCTAGCAGGTTAACATTTCATACCGAATGACAGTGGCAGTTCACATTTAATGTTATCTGGAATCAGGAGTAGCGAAACAAGACGACAACGACATGACAACAAAATCCTAGTTCAGTCTCAAAATCGATCAAACGAAGATTAAGTATGACCAAGGAAAGACGAGAGCAAGTCCTGGTGCTCCGGAATGTCTCCTGCTTCGCAGTACATGAGAACAAGAGCAGGTGTTTCGGAATGTCTCCTGCTTCACGGTATATGGAGAACAAGACCAGGTGTTTCGGAATGGTGTCCTGTCTCGCGTTACACGAACAAGACCAGGGCCCGTATTCATGAAACCAAAGATTTAAAAAAAAAAATTGAAAGGACTTCAAGTTATTATCATTTGTATTATTTTATATGATTTAGGTGAATTATTAAAAAGTTTGCTTGAGCACAAAATCTATGCTTGAGCATGAGAACGGTTTCATGAATACGGGTCCAGGTGTTTCGTAATGTCGTCTGCTTCACGGTATATGGAGAACAAGACCAGGTGTTTTGGAATGGTGTCCTGCATCATAGTACATAAAGACCAAGACCAGGTGTTTCGGAATGTCTCCTGCATCATGGTACATAAAGAACAAGACCAGGTGTTTCGGAATGGTGCCCTGTAAATTTTGGTAAATCAATATACCATGATTATCAGGTAATGTAACCAACACATTGATAAAACCTTGACTTAGTTTTAGATTTAATGATCAGATTTGTTTTGATAACTCGATCTTAACCAACAGGGAGATCCATTCAACTTAATTTCTTACAAAGAAATTTCTATTTTTTTATATATATATAAAATAATGGGTCTGCTTTTCTAATATCTATACATGTATTGACATATCGCAGTTAAATCAATATTTTAGATTTTGTTTTCAATATCATGATGAGATTCTTTAGTACGACTGATGGGTTTGTAGTGTGATATAAAGTGACATGTGTGCGAGGTTCTTTATTACGACTGATGGGTTTGTAGTGTGATATAAAGTGACATGTGTTCGAGGTTCTTTAGTACGACAGGTGGGTTTGTTGTGTGATATAAAGTGACGTGTGTTCGAGGTTCTTTAGTACGACAGGTGGGTTTGTAGTGTGATATAAAGTGATATGTGTTCGAGGTTCTTTATTACGACAGGTGGGTTTGTAGTGTGATATAAAGTGACATGTGTTCGAGATTCTTTAGTACGACTGATGGGTTTGTTGTGTGATATAAAGTGACGTGTGTTCGAGGTTCTTTAGTACGCAAGGTGGGTTTGTAGTGTGATATAAAGTGACATGTGTTCGAGGTTCTTTAGTACGACAGGTGGGTTTGTTGTGTGATATAAAGTGACGTGTGTTCGAGGTTCTTTAGTACGACAGGTGGGTTTGTTGTGTGATATAAAGTGACGTGTGTTCGAGGTTCTTTAGTACGCAAGGTGGGTTTGTAGTGTGATATAAAGTGACGTGTGTTCGAGGTTCTTTAGTACGCAAGGTGGGTTTGTAGTGTGATATAAAGTGACGTGTGTTCGAGGTTCTTTAGTACGACTGGTGGGTTTGTAGTGTGATATAAAGTGACATATGTGCGAGGTTCTTTAGTACGACTGATGGGTTTGTAGTGTGATATACAGTGACATGTGTTCGAGGTTCTTTAGTACGACAGGTTGGTTTGTTGTTTGATATAAAGTGACATGTGTTCGAGGTTCTTTAGTACGACAGGTGGATGTTGTTGTTTGATATAAAGTGACATGTGTTGGGTTTGTAGTGTGATATAAAGTGACAGTGTGATTCGAGTGTGTTCGAGTGTTCGTGTGTTCGAGGTTCTTTAGTACGACTGATGGGTTTGTAGTGTGATATAAAGTGATATGTGTTCGAGGTTCTTTATTACGACAGGTGGGTTTGTAGTGTGATATAAAGTGACATGTGTTCGAGGTTCTTTAGTACGACAGGTTGGTTTGTAGTGTGATATAAAGTGACATGTGTGCGAGGTTCTTTAGTACAACAGGTGGGTTTGTAGTGTGATATAAAGTGACATATGTGCGAGGTTCTTTAGTACGACTGATGGGTTTGTAGTATGATATAAAGTGACATGTGTTCGAGGTTCTTTAGTACGACAGGTGGATGTTTTGTTTTATATCAATTAACATGTTTTCGAGAATCTTTAGTACACCAGGAGGGGTTGTTTTGTGATATGAAGTGACTTATGTTCGAGGTTCTTTAGTACGACTGATGGGTTTGTAGTGTGATATAAAGTGACATGTGTTCGAGGTTCTTTAGTACGACAGGTTGGTTTGTAGTGTGATATAAAGTACGACAGGTTGGTTTGTAGTGTGATATAAAGTGATATGTGTTCGAGGTTCTTTAGTGTGGTTAAATGGGTTTGTAGTGTGTACGTGTGTTGATATAAAGTGATATAAAGTGACGTGTGTTCGAGGTTCTTTAGTACGACTGATGGGTTTGTAGTGTGATATAAAGTGACGTGTGTTCGAGGTTCTTTAGTACGACGTTTTCTTGAATACGACGGATTGGTTTTTAGTGTGATAGGACCTTGGGTATGTGTGATACCCATTAGTATGCCTCTTGATTTCGTTGTGTGATATGAAGTTAGATGTGTGCGATGTTCGGTAGTATACAGGTTCTCATAGAAGGTTTTGTTGAGAAAGCAGAATATTACCCTTCTGGATTCTACGGTCTTATTCGCCTTGTACTTTCTCAAGTTTTCTGGTTTTCTGTTGTTCATCACGTTTTAATATATATACACATACCCCCCCCCCCCCCCCCAAAAAAAAAAAAAAAAAAAAAAGAGAAAAAATCACACATACAAACAATAACATTTAATCAAACTGGATTAAAACCTTTATTTTAAACAATGCATATGAAATAGTGAAACTTTTTAAATGAAACAAATTTCAATAAACTGACAAGCAATTTTGTTAAGCTAGGTAACAAGATTCTCACTATATATACATAAACTTAAGTAAGCTCCTCACGGAATCATCTAGTCAGATTTCACGTCCACTACATACTCCATGATAAATGGAAGGTATGCCACACTGAACGCTGGGACGTTCTTAAAGGTTTGCATACGGGTATTTTACATGTGAAAATTTGTACATATATATAATACACACGGCCATGATATAGGTAATGCAATGTTGTAAGTATGAAGGATTGATCAAATAGATATATATTCTCAATGGTTCATCATTGTAACATGGCACACACTCAGTTAAGGAAAATTACTATCTACGCATGTCAATTAATTTTATGACTACTAATCAGCACACGACATCTGTCCGTAATACTTTAGAACCTACAGATGAAAATTTCGTATCCATGGTTACTGTTGTATGTATTTATCTTTATCCTAGTACAGGTAACATGATTATTATATAAATGTGAAATTTGTACGTGTCTATGTTTTACTAGGGTATTTATATGAATGATATTCACTGTTGTTAAAATAAACGGTTCTTTTCAGCTACTCTATGAAAACAGTAAAAAGAAGCCAAACGTAAAAATGGTAACGCCTTTCATCCTAATTCTATATGGTTTTGATGACTAAAAAATTAACACGTATCAAAACAAACCGATTTCTCTATAACAGGCTCTCAACTTTGTAAATAAGACTTTCTCACCTCTACACCACACAAACAAAATATTTCGTGTCGCTGTAACATTAAGAGATAAATCCCCACGATTCGATTTTCCGTATTGCCTGAAGTCGTCTACCCATTTAACTCCATAACGTCCTGAGGTCAAACCGGTAAATGTAGGTCTCCAATCTATAACTAAATAGAACCCAGTCTCCCTTACATTATATTCACTCGATAAATAGTTATGACAAACGTCCATTTCTAAGATCATTGATTCATAAACATACATGTAACCTGTAAGAGGGCTTCATTCCGTCGTTAACCAAAAGTTGGTTTCTTCTTCTAACAACAAAACACACCTCTGTATAATGGTAGCAAGTTCTAACTAAACACTTTCAACTACTAAGTTACGCTAGAGTTCTATAAATGGAATTTGACGTCATTATGTGCGGCCATTCAACTGCCTAAATGGCGAAAACGAGTTATAACCGGCAAATTTTAACTTAATTTTAAACATCTTACATGTGCAAAATGCACATATACCGGCAATATCTTAATTATATAAATTTGGCAATTTATAATTCTACTTTCTGGATTCAATTCCTTACATGTGTTTATGTCTTTGAATTAAACTTAACACAATTTTATGTGGAGAGGTGGTGTGTGTGGGGATCAGTACTAGAGGCCCCGACATCTATCTTATCTCAACATGTATAGATGTGTGTGGGGATCAGTACTAGAGGCCCCGACATCTATCTTACCTCAACATGTATAGGTGTGTGTGGGGATCAGTACTAGAGGCCCCGACATCTATCTTACCTCAACATGTATAGGTGTGTGTGGGGATCAGTACCAGAGGCCCCGACATCTATCTTATCTCAACATGTATAGGTGTGTGCGAGATCAGTACTAGAGGCCCCGACATCTATCTTATCTCAACATGTATAGGTGTGTGTGGGGATCAGTACTAGAGGCCCCGACATCTATCTCCTATTAATATGTATAGGTGTGTGTGAGATCAGTACTAGAGGCCCCGACATCTATCTTATCTCTACATGTATAGGTGTGTGTGGGGATCAGTACTAGAGGCCCCGACATCTATCTTATCTCTACATGTATAGGTGTGTGTGGGGATCAGTACTAGAGGCCCCGACATCTATCTTATCTCAATATGTATAGATGTTTGGGGATCAGTACTAGAGGCCCCGACATCTATCTTATCTCAACATGTATAGTTGTGGTGGATCAGTACTAGAGGCCCCGACATCTATCTTATCTCAACATGTATAGGTGTGTGCGAGATCAGTACTAGAGGTCCCGACATCTATCTTATCTCAACATGTATATGTGTGTGTGGGCATCAGTACTAGAGGCCCCGACATCCATCTTATCTCAACATGTATAGGTGTGTGGGGATCAGTACTAGAGGCCCCGACAACTATCTTATCTCAACATGTATAGGTGTGTGGGGATCAGTACTAGAGGCCCCGACAACTATCTTATCTCAACATGTATAGTTGTGTGGGGATCAGTACTAGAGGCCCCGACATCTATCTTATCTCAACATGTATAGGTGTGTGGGGATCAGTACTAGAGGCCCCGACATCCATCTTATCTCAACATGTATAGGTGTGTGGGGATCAGTACTAGAGGCCCCGACATCTATCTTATCTCAACATGTACAGGTGTGTGTGAGATCAGTACTAGAGGCCCCGATATCTATCTTACCTCAACATGTATAGGTGTGTGTGGGATAAGTACTAGAGGCCCCGACATCCTTCTTATCACAACATGTATAGGTGTGTGTGGGGATCAGTACTAGAGGTCCCGACATCTATCTTATCTCAACATGTATAGGTGTGTGTGGGCATCAGTACTAGAGGCCCCGACATCCATCTTATCTCAACATGTATATTTGTGTGGGGATCAGTACTAGAGGCCCCGACAACTATCTTATCTCAACATGTATAGTTGTGTGGGGATCAGTACTAGAGGCCCCGATATCTATCTTATCTCAACATGTATAGGTGTGTGGGGATCAGTACTAGAGGTCCCGACATCCATCTTATCTCAACAGGTATAGGTGTGTGTGGGCATCAGTACTAGAGGCCCCGACATCCATCTTATCTCAACATGTATAGGTGTGTGGGGATCAGTACTAGAGGCCCCGATATCTATTTTATCTCAACATGTATAGTTGTGTGGGGATCAGTACTAGAGGCCCCGACAACTATCTTATCTCAACATGTATAGTTGTGTGGGGATCAGTACTAGAGGCCCCGATATCCATCTTATCTCAACATGTATAGGTGTGTGGGGATCAGTACTAGAGGTCCCGACATCTATCTTATCTCAACATGTATAGGTGTGTGGGGATCAGTACTAGAGGCCACGACATCTATCTTATCTCAACATGTATAGGTGTGTGGGCATCAGTACTAGAGGCCCCGACATCTACCTTATCTCAACATGTACAGGTGTGTGTGAGATCAGTACTAGAGGCCCCGATATCTATCTTATCTCAACATGTACAGGTGTGTGTGAGATCAGTACTAGAGGCCCCGATATCTATCTTACCTCAACATATATAGGTGTATAGGAACAGTACTTCTTATTTTCTCTGATGTAAAACTCGCTTGATATCATAACTTGCACGTGAAAAATACAACTTATATATATATATATATATTTATATATACAATGTATGAAACATCACGTGTTGTCAGCATGTAAGCAGTAATATATATATATATATAAGTGATACATATATTACGTGTATCTATAAATCTCGAGATATCAACATACAAACCTTACATATATGACGTCAGTTTCCATTAGCGAGTCGCAGTCGACAAAAGTGACGTCACAATGTAATCTGCGAAAGTGTTACCTCAGAAATCACGTGATAAAAGTATGCATTTACTAGAAACATATCTGTATGTATTACACAGCATCCCGTGATGTTAACATGCAGATAATATCTACGTTTGTACGTGGTTTTGTATCGTCCTATTATGTGATCACATACATGATATAGATTTATGGTGGCAAGACACAAATATTCAACGTTATGTCTTTTATGTTCGTTAATATTTGCATACAAAACGATCCCGGATTTCATGACACAAAAACTTTGTAAAAAGAAGTGGAATTGATCACAATTATCAGCCAAAATATTAAAATACGTACTCCATGTCATATCAGGCAGATCATTATTTTCTCGATTAAGTATTTATTACATCAGGCATTTAATTCAAATTAGCTTTCCTGGTAACGAACATCTACAGCTCCCTGTGATAAGGTAAGCCCTCCTTATCACTAACAGCTCCCTGTGATAAGGTAAGCCCTCCTTATCACGAACAGCTCCCTGTGATAAGGTAAGCCCTCCTTATCACGAACAGCTCCCTGTGATAAGGTAAGCCCTCCTTATCACGAACAGCTCCCTGTGATAAGGTAAGCCCTCCTTATCACGAACAGCTCCCTGTGATAAGGTAAGCCCTCCTTATCACTAACAGCTCCCTGTGATAAGGTAAGCCCTCCTTATCATGAACAGCTCCCTGTGATAAGGTAAGCCCTCCTTATCATGAACAGCTCCCTGTGATAAGGTAAGCCCTCCTTATCACTAACAGCTCCCTGTGATAAGGTAAGCCCTCCTTATCACGAACAGCTCCCTGTGATAAGGTAAGCCCTCCTTATCACTAACAGCTCCCTGTGATAAGGTAAGCCCTCCTTATCACTAACAGCTCCCTGTGATAAGGTAAGCCCTCCTTATCACTAACAGCTCCCTGTGATAAGGTAAGCCCTCCTTATCATGACGAACAGCTCCCTGTGATAAGGTAAGCCCTCCTTATCACGAACAGCTCCCTGTGATAAGGTAAACCCTCCTTATCACGAACAGCTCCCTGTGATAAGGTAAGCCCTCCTCATCATGAACAACAGCTCCCTGTGATAAGGTAAGCCCTCCTTATCACTAACAGCTCCCTGTGATAAGGTAAGCCCTCCTTATCACGAACAGCTCCCTGTGATAAGGTAAGCCCTCCTTATCATGAACAGCTCCCTGTGATAAGGTAAGCCCTCCTTATCATGAACAGCTCCCTGTGATAAGGTAAGCCCTCCTTATCACGAACAGCTCCCTGTGATAAGGTAAACCCTCCCTATCACGAACAGCTCCCTGTGATAAGGTAAGTCCTACTTATCATGAACAGCCACCTGTGATAAGGTAAGCCCTTATCACGAACATCTATTAGATTATCTGTGTCATAGCCTCTCGTCGGTATTGAATTACTGATTAGTTCGACGGTGAGAAATAGAAGAACCTGTTTCTCCCTCCAATGACAGCAGTGAACAACACGTAAATAGCGACGTAGTAGTTTGTAGTATACCTTATCACAATTCTATCACAGAAATGTTGGGGTGTAGCTGTCATTGGTACAGCCATATATAAAATATTTACACAACTTTAACTCAAACAACACACTCTGCATATACCGGTGAAAATAAATAAACTTTCATACATGATTAACATTCATTCCAGTTTTGTTTTACTTATAGACGACCTATCTACATCTACCTGTGTATCAGTTATATAGAAGTTACATAGTTATATAGATTTGATACAGAATATCTATATAATAACTATACAATTTTGTGTTTTATTGACAAACTTTAATACAGTATGAACAGTTACCCTGCAACAGAAAATCCATACAAAATAATCAACTTCAATATTTTTAATAAAAAGACAAAAAGTTCTATAACCTTAATTTCTTTGGACAAAATAATGATATGTTACACTAGACGTAAAATAGGAAATTTGGAATAGATACATAAATAAGAATAAATATATCAATCTATTTCATGACTGAAATTTTGATTGAACAATGAACAACCAAGTTTGATGTTCCATGATAGCGGTGTTTCAGAATGGTTAGTGGCAGTGATAGGCATACTGAATATGTCTGAAAATAACAGTCGAGGCAAGAGTTCGGTGTTCACCAACAATTCTATAGGGGTTAACAACGAACACCAGATTCATGTGCATAAAATCCAACTGGTTACAGCAGACTTACAGCTGTAGTGTATATAATACTACATATTCAACTGGTTACAGCAGACTTACAGCTGTAGTGTATATAATACTATATATACAACTGGTTACAGCAGACTTACAGCTGTAGTGTATATAATACTATATATACAACTGGTTACAGCAGACTTACAGCTGTAGTGTATATAGTACTACATATTCAACTGGTTTACAGCAGACTTACAGCTGTAGTGTATATAGTATTATATATACAACTGGTTACAGCAGACTTACAGCTGTAGTGTATATAGTACTATATATACAACTGGTTACAGCAGACTTACAGCTGTAGTGTATATAATACTATATATACAACTGGTTACAGCAGACTTACAGCTGTAGTGTATATAATACTATATATACAACTGGTTACAGCAGACTTACAGCTGTAGTGTATATAATACTATATATACAACTGGTTACAGCTGTAGTGTATATAATACTATATATACAACTGGTTACAGCAGACTTACAGCTGTAGTGTATATAATACTATATATACAACTGGTTACAACTGTAGTGTATATAATACTATATATACAACTGGTTACAGCAGACTTACAGCTGTAGTGTATATAATACTTTATACAACTGGACAGAGAAGGCTGCTGTAATGTATATAAAACTAGTATAGAACAGTTGATGATGTAAACAGAATTATAACCATCACTAGTGAAAAATATTGTAACGAAGAAAACACACTTTCATATCACAGGGATAACAATGAGGAGTAACCATAGTAACACGTGTCAGAATCAGAGGATGGTCCAGAACACAGCACTCATGTACGTTTCCAGGTAGCCCGCCGAACAAGAATAAACTAACGAACGAATAATATTCACAACTGTTGATGGAAATAAGTATTGAGCACAATGACGTCAGTGGCAAATGGACGTCAGAATTAATAATCAGTATCTATATATGCTATAAGATACGCACTAACAATTGATTTTTTATAACTTAGTCACGTGATGTGTCTGTCACCTATGCTTCAAAACATCACCACGTGTGGTCACATCTGCATTGTTTTTGACAGTATCACGCACGTTCGTTTTAATTACAATAAATGGAAGCCATATCATATATGTTCCGAATAACAAGCCAATGTTAATCAGCAGGGTCACTGTAGCGTTGACCTGAAAATACAAATTGATACGCCTTTAATATAATCAAGGTAATCAGGTTATACACAAACATACATATTTTCCGGCTTCAACAAAACAAAACCATAAAATAAAAAAAAAAGTATTGTTAATTAAAAAATAACAATGAATGTTAGACAAACATTGTATCAAAATAAGTGGATCGTTTAATTTTAAAAGGACATGTTCAGTAAATGTCGTTTGCAAGACAAAAAATAATCAATGCATGTCATTATAGATAAAATTAATAAAAAAAAATGTGTGTGTGTGTGTGTGTGTGTGTGTGTGTGTGTGTGTGTGTGTGTGTGTGTGTGTGTGTGTGTGTGTGTGTGTGTGTGTGTGTGTGTGTGTGTGTGTGTGTGTTGGGTGGGTGTGGGTGTGTGTGTGTGTGGGGGGGTGTGAGTGTGTGAATGGATGGATGTAAATACCTGTCTCATCCGCTGGCCTCGGGTGAGGTGTAAGGATCCGATATCCCATCTGATGATTGTCGAGTGTTTACGTTGTTCATTAAAGAGTCTATTTGCATACCTTTCTGTTCATCCTTCTCTGACCCGTCGTCATTACCATATTCATGATAGAACTGATCATTTCCGCTTTTCATGTCAAACAAATCAGAATAGTGAAGGGGAGACAACCGCAGCAGATTCGGAGACGAAAGACTAGCATCTGATTGTGATCGACCTATAGAATTCGAGCTCAGTAAACTTTCCTCGATGTCGAAGTTATCAGAAGGGCTTGTATCGTTTTGCCATGGGACATTCTGACACTGACTTTGCTTCCAAATATTCATTTTATTAGGGGTTCCTACACTATCACTGAAGTCAATGTCTTCTTCAATTCGGTCGTGCATATCCGCAAAACTCAAGTCATCGAAATTGTCTTGTGGTGAGTATACTGGAGGATGTATCTGCGGGAGCACACACTCTGATGACGTATACACACGATTTGGAGGTAGATTTTCGTCACTATACACACCCCGAGACATCACGCCTGTATCACGTGTATTCGGGATGTATCCCTGATACACATCATGTCTTAAACAGGATATATCATCAAACGCGTGCCTCCCACTAGGAGTAAGATCCTGATCACGTGCATGGGGCGATAATAGATTTTCTGTGTCTTCTGCATCATTGATGTCTTTTTTCAAAATAGATTTCTTCTTTGAAGGAGGAGGATCTACAAGAGAGGGGCTGGAGTGGGCTGTGACTTTTCGTAAACCGCATGGAGATATGACGGGGGTGACGAAGCCCTCTGTGGAAAGATGTACAAGGCAAGTCAATATGATGCACAAACAAGCATACGTACAAGGTATATAAAGTTTATATCTTAATGCCACAGTAGCCGATTACGTCGACAAATGGCCGCAGTATAACCTAGAAATGGTCATACTATCGATTATTTTCTTTCCGGTAAGATAAGAATTTATTCTGTTGCAATATCGACAATTCTTACGAATTTTGATTTGTCAGTTGTTTAGGATATCGGTCTCATTGTACTTATAAAACTACAGAGCTTTTAGCAAAGTTTGAAAACAGATCTTCCTCAAGTAACTGAACAAATTGCTATTGTGACACTGGCAGTGTATTTCTTGCCTTTTTGACACAGATTTTAAATTCCAAAACCTCTTACACGTATGTCGAGTCTGCAACGTCCATGATATGAACGTTGAAAGTTTATTTACGATAACTAAACATTACTTAAGCAACAAGCTGTACTACACAAATGTAGTTTTCACGATACCAAATCGGAACCTAAAACACTTGAACAACAGAATAGTTACAACGCTGGGACAAAATCAACAAAAAAGGCAACGTTAAGGATAGTGCAACAATGGTGTGACCAGAATGGTAAGCGGAAGTAGAAGAGAGTGCCGGGAAGCATCACGTGACGCTAAGCTTCCTTCATGCTTGTGATAGCTGATAATGGAAGGGTGGCTTAAGCAATGATAATTAAGTACTTACGGTTTTAACCAATCAGATTACAGACATAGTTACGTTTAATTAGAACAGTCTGATTGACTGTTTAGATAAAAAGTTCTTAAAGCATCTGACATTGAAATTAGCAGGGAATGAACTGAAGCAAAGGGCTACATATAGTTTCTTCCTTAGTGATACCTCAGAGACGACGAGGTTCACAAAAAATATTTATCTCAAATAGCATCACTTTCATCATAACTGAAATAAGTGCAATATCGTAATTAAAATAATAAAAAAAACAAATATAACAATTAATAAGAAACAATTAAAACTAATATAATCCACGTGATTTTACTGGAGTAAAATATAGGAAACATTAAGAAGATTTTTCCATGATAGTGCAATGCCAAGTTAATACTAACCTGCAAATGATATATGAAACACAATGACAATGGTTATTCCTCTTACTTTGCTTTAGAAAATTCTCGGAAATTGAAAGAATGGAAACTTTGTCTGTGTAAGTGTAGGTTGTTCGGTTCGATAATTACAAGTGACGTAATAACGTAATTTCATTTTTTAAAATTCTGTTTGGAGAATCTGACAATTTCACTAAGTAGCACTATGCAAATACGATAATACTGTTCTACAGAGATATTGGTAAGATTTGTCTAAAGAGTAGTGTGGTGTTTTTTAAAAAAAAACTAGATTAGTAACAAGCATGCCTTCTTGTGATGTGACTAACGATAAGATAGCTATTTAGATATATCATTTCATTTCATAATTCAATAAATAACAGATATTGGGGGCGTATCAAACAGAGCGCAGAGGAGACTACAAATGCGTAGGTCAAAGGTCAAAGTTCTGAGGTCACACCAATGTTATACTAAACCTGAACTCTGCCAGCTTAACGGTCGTTTCCGCATTCAGTTGAGAAGAAATTTTTCATCTGGAAAAATGTCAATGTTCAAAAATATTCATTAGTCAATACACATACTATTTAGGTTAGCATATCAGCTAGACTAAAATTCAGTTAGACGATGTCAAGTGAAACGTAAAAATACACAGGTAAGAAGCATTTTACATATTTATCTTCCGTTTTGAAGCAGCTTACATAATAATTCCCGGAAATATCCAGATGTTCTATTACCGTTCCAATTCAAAAAGAGTGTGTTCGCTAAAGTCAATACTCATTAGATCTTGAATTTCATCATACAATATACAGCTGTGATCTTCTCAAACTAACGTAATGGTTTTTGTTTTCTTTATCTCTGACGCCATTAACACATATTTACAGACAACCTTCATCAACAATCGCATACTTAATTCTTCAGTCATATCAACTAAAATATGATTATACTGAGGATGAAATTTCCTTAATTATTCAACTTGTTTTAATCATTAATAAAAATACTGAGAATGAAATATCCTTAATTATTATATTTGTTTAAATCACCAATAAAAAATACCGAGGATGGAGTATCCTTAATTATTATATTTGTTTAAATCACCAATAAAAAATACCGAGGATGGAGTATCCTTAATTATTATTCTTGCAGATGGTGGGATATCTCTACTTCTATGAATCGTTTTAATCTCCCTACGATACTACAGATGGTGGGATATCTCTACTTCTGTGTATCGTTTTAACCTCCCTACAATACTACAGATGGTGGGATATCTCTACTTCTGTGTATCGTTTTAACCTCCCTACAATACTACAGATGTTGAGGTATCTATACTTCTGTGTACCGTTTTAACCTCCCTACAATACTACAGATGGTGGGATATCTCTACTTCTGTGTATCGTTTTAACCTCCCTACGATACTACAGATGGTGGGATATCTCTACTTCTGTGTATCGTTTTAACTTCCCTACAATACTACAGATGGTGGGATATCTCTACTTCTGCGTATCGTTTTAACCTCCCTACGATACTATAGATGGTGGTATATTTCTACTTCTGTGTATCGTTTTAACTTCCCTACAATACTACAGATGGTGGGATATCTCTACTTCTGTGTATCGTTTTAACCTCCCTACGATACTATAGATGGTGGTATATTTCTACTTCTGTGTATCGTTTTAACCTCCCTACAATACTATAGAAGGTGGGATATCTCTACTTCTGTGTATCGTTTTAACCTCCCTACAATACTACAGATGGTGGGATATCTCTACTTCTGTGTATCGTTTTAACCTCCCTACAATACTACAGATGGTGGGATATCTCTACTTCTGTGTATCGTTTTAACCTCCCTACAATACTACAGATGGTGGGATATCTCTACTTCTGTGTATCGTTTTAACCTCCCTACAATACTACAGATGTTCAGGTATCTATACTTCTGTGTACCGTTTTAACCTCCCTACAATACTACAGATGGTGGGATATCTCTACTTCTGTGTATCGTTTTAACTTCCCTACAATACTACAGATGGTGGGATATCTCTACTTCTGTGTATCGTTTTAACCTCCCTACGATACTATAGATGGTGGTATATTTCTACTTCTGTGTATCGTTTTAACCTCCCTACAATACTACTGAAGGTGGGATATCTCTACTTCTGTGTATCGTTTTAACCTCCGTACAATACTACAGATGTCGGGATGTCTCTACTTCTGTGTATCGTTTTAACCTCCCTACAATACTACTGAAGGTGGGATATCTCTACTTCTGTGTATCGTTTTAACCTCCATACAATACTACAGATGTCGGGATGTCTCTACTTCTGTGTATCGTTTTAACCTCCCTACAATACTACAAATGGTGGGTAAATCTACTTCTGTGTATCGTTTTAACCTCCCTACGATACTACAGATGGTGGGATATCTCTACTTCTGTGTATCGTTTTAACCTCCGTACAATACTACAGATGTCGGGATGTCTCTACTTCTGTGTATCGTTTTAACCTCCCTACAATACTACTGAAGGTGGGATATCTCTACTTCTGTGTATCGTTTTAACCTCCATACAATACTACAGATGTCGGGATGTCTCTACTTCTGTGTATCGTTTTAACCTCCCTACAATACTACAGATGCTGAGGTATCTATACTTCTGTGTACCGTTTTAACCTCCCTACAATACTACAGATGGTGGGATATCTCTACTTCTGTGTATCGTTTTAACTTCCCTACAATACTACAGATGGTGGGATATCTCTACTTCTGCGTATCGTTTTAACCTCCCTACGATACTATAGATGGTGGTATATTTCTACTTCTGTGTATCGTTTTAACCTCCCTACAATACTACTGAAGGTGGGATATCTCTACTTCTGTGTATCGTTTTAACCTCCGTACAATACTACAGATGTCGGGATGTCTCTACTTCTGTGTATCGTTTTAACCTCCCTACAATACTACTGAAGGTGGGATATCTCTACTTCTGTGTATCGTTTTAACCTCCATACAATACTACAGATGTCGGGATGTCTCTACTTCTGTGTATCGTTTTAACCTCCCTACAATACTACAAATGGTGGGTAAATCTACTTCTGTGTATCGTTTTAACCTCCCTACGATACTACAGATGGTGGGATATCTCTACTTCTGTGTATCGTTTTAACCTCCCTACGATACTACAGATGGTGGGATATCTCTACTTCTGTATATCGTTTTCACCTCCCTACGATACTAAAGATGGTGGGATATCTCTACTTCTGTGTATCGTTTTCACCTCCATACGATACTAAAGATGGTGGGATATCTCTACTTCTGTGTATCGTTTTAAACTCCCTACAATACTACAGATGGTGGGATATCTCTACCTCTGTGTATCGTTTTAACCTCCCTACGATACTACAGATGTGGGATATCTCTACTTCTGTGTATCGTTTTAACCTCCCTACAATACTACAGAAGGTGGGATATCTCTACTTCTGTGTATCGTTTTAACCTCCCTACAATACTACAGATGGTGGGATATCTCTATTTCTGTGTATCGGTATAACCTCCCTACAATACTATAGATGGTGGGATATCTGTACTTCTGTGTATCGTTTTAACCTCCCTACAATACTACTGAAGGTGGGATATCTCTACTTCTGTGTATCGTTTTAACCTCCCTACAATACTACAGATGGTGGGATATCTCTACTACTGTGTATCGTTTTAACCTCCCTACAATACTACAGATGGTAGGATATCTTTACTTCTGTGTATCGTTTTAACCTCCCTACAATACTACTGAAGATGGGATATCTCTACTTCTGCGTATCGTTTTAACCTCCCTATAATACTACAGATGGTGGGATATCTCTACTTCTTTGTATCGTTTTAACCTCCCTACAATACTACTGATGGTGGGATATCTCTACTTCTGTGAATCATTTTAAACACCATACGATACTACGGATGGTGGGATATCTCTACTTCTGTGTATCGTTTTAACCTCCCTACAATACTACAGATGGTGGGTAAATCTACTTCTGTGTATCGTTTTAACCTCCCTACAATACTACAGATGGGGGGATATCTCTTCTTTTTGTATCATTTTAACCTCCCTACAATACTACAGATGGTGGGATATCTCTACTTCTGTGTATCGTTTTAAGCTCCCTACAATACTAGAGAAAGTGGGAAATCTCTACTTTTGTGTATTATTTTAACCTCCCTACAATACTACAGACGGTGGGATATCTCTACTTCTGTGTATCGTTTTAACTTCCCTAAAATACTACTGAAGGTGGGATGTCTCTACTTCTGTTGATTGTTTTAACTTCCCTACAATACTACAGATGGTGGGATATCTTTACTTCTGTGTATCGTTTTAACCTCCCTACAATACTACTGAAGGTGGTATATTTCTACTTCTGTGTATCGTTTTAACCTCCCTAAAATACTACTGAAGGTGGGATATCTCTATTTCTGGGTATCGTTTTAACCTCGCTACAATACTACAGAAGGTGGGATATCACTATTTCTGTGTATCGTTTTATCCTCCCTACAATACTACAAATGGTGGGATATCGCTTCTTCTGTGTATGGTTTAAACTCCCTACAATACTACAGATGGTGGGTAACTCTACTTCTGTGTATCGTTTTAAACTCCCTACGATACTACAGATGGTGGGATATCTCTACTTCTGTGTATCGTTTTAACCTCCCTACAATACTACTGAAGGTGGGATATCTCTACTTCTGTGTATCGTTTTAACCTCCCTAAAATACTACAGAAGGTGGGATATCTCTATTTCTGGGTATCGTTTTAACCTCGCTACAATACTACAGAAGGTGGGATATCACTATTTCTGTGTATCGTTTTATCCTCCCTACAATACTACAAATGGTGGGATATCTCTTCTTCTGTGTATGGTTTAAACTCCCTACAATACTACAGATGGTGGGTAACTCTACTTCTGTGTATCGTTTTAACCTCCCTACGATACTACAGATGGTGGGATATCTCTACTTCTGTGTATCATTTTAACCTCCCTACAATAGTACAGACGGTGGGATATTACTACTTCTGTGTATCGTTTTAACCTCTCTACAATACTACAGATGATGGTGTCACCATAATAAATATGATGTGTAAAATGATACAGTTGTAATCCTGAATAACAACGACTTTATTAACCTTCACCAGTTGAACCATCATATCAGGAAGTTGACACATTATCTACCAAAGTATATATACAACTGACGGTGGGAGTATTCTTAACTATTATATCTGTACTAATAATCACGTCATGAAACAAACCATCAGATTTTATCAGACGGTATGTTTTCCTATTTATCATATCTTTATCAACCACCATACGACAAAGATTGTTAAAAATACTTAAATACATATATGGTCTTTTATGTTCCTAAAATAATGTTAGCCACAATGGACGGTCAACTTGATAAATGAAAAAAACTATACTTTAACTCTACTTTTATCCACCATTATATAACGATACAGATCGTGTATGGTTTAAATGGTTTATGATGTATAAAGCAACTTAATAATCGAGAGAAAAAAATGTTATTTTTTACAACAATTTCATGCCGACATAGTGTACTGAAAATGCTATTCGTTACAATTAAGATAACCTGTCGCATTACTTTAATAAAAAAGCTATTAAACATTTTCTCACTACAAAGAAAATAATAAAATCCCGTATGAAATACCAAAAGTAAAGCACCATGCAATAAAATATATGCAAGAAATATTTCTATAAAAATTTAAACAATTAACCTGCACAAACAAAATACCGAGGTATTATTTGGTACATCATAGGAGATAATGACAAACAGCAAACCAGGCAACCTGCACCACTTCAAAAAAAGCAGTCCTGTTTGTCAGTAGACACGCCATTCCAATGATACAGTGCATTAGTCTAGGAAAAAATTCAATCCGATATGAAGATGCAAATAAATACAGTAAGTGTTAGAAGAAATGCTTCCTCTAAGGCAAGCACAGTACTGAAATGGAAACGTTTGGACGAAGGGCTTCCCAGAGCAGCACAATTTTACCACCGGTATATCAACCTTGTTAAAATAGGTCACGGATGTGGCGGCATAAATATGTCATTGATTTAATTACATCATTTGCATGATGATAATCTAATGATTTCCATGTTGCGTATTATATTTGTGTAATTCTAGGCAACCTATGAATACGACTAAATACCGTGACAGAAGAGTGGAGGAAGTTACAGCAATCTTCAAGAATATGAATCCTACATACAATATTCTATATTTCATTCTAAAAATCGAATTCTGAGAGTTGTGAAGAAGTGTTTTTCCGAATGAAGATATGATTTCCGTTTCACTTATTTGCTTGAGATTATACCTGATTGCGGGTTAGCGATGAGGTGATAGTTGGCTAGTTTCCGTCCAGTAGATGGGCTGGAATGTAGTCTTGTTGCCAAGGAAACTGCTTTTCGGAATTTTGCACTTTTTGACTTTGTAGAACCGTCCACATGAAGATTATCAAAAGACATGTATGATCTTTCTTTGATATCACTAAACTGTGGGTGTCGCTCACTCGACTCGGATTTGTGTCTTTTTAGGCTGGCTCGATGTTGCCGTTGTGGTTCAATATTCCGGCGCATGGCGAATCCGTCATCCACTTCCGGCTGTAAGACATGTTGGGGAGAATTGACTCTTTGCCAAGTGGTAGTAAATCTCCCATCTAATTTTTGAATGATTTGACCAGAAGGTTTATCGTTTAAGACTTTATCAGAAAGTAAGGAAATATCATCAGGGGTGGATAACCCCGTTAGATCATTCATATCCGAAGAAGTACAACATGCACAGACTTCCGGCGAGGACTTCTGCGGATTGACGTGAAGGTTGGAGTAGACCGGAACCGGAACTCCCCTACCGCAAGGACTCATAGGTGGATGGGTCATGCAACTATTATAAGTGTCTGTGCTTGTATTGCTGCTCTGTCGAACAAGCGTTTTCATCTCTATTGTGCACCGAGCACGTGCAGAAGTACATTCAGCGGTGGGTTGATATTCAAATTTGCCCTGAAGCAGGGAAAGCAGAGATTAGTGGATAAATGGCAACAAAAGTTAGTTTTTAACCAGTTCTTGATGTACTTTTTGCAAAAGAAGTAAACATCTATATATTTTGCTGGTGTCAGGAATTTTATCTTCTTTTAAAATGATATCAAGTTCAGAGCTCTTCACGTGTTCACTTCTTAATTCAATCTTTACCATCAAATAGTTATAGGAATTTTAAAGCCAATGTGTTTTAATCTGTGAAAGAGAAAATTTCTTAAGAATTTGCGTAAAAGAATTTATTACAGCTTCTTTTCTTTTTTAAAATTGATCTTCCTCGTTGAACAAAATGAACACCATGGAAAACGGTTAGATCGTTTTACAGTTGCACCATGACAAACAAAATTGCTGCCGCTTCAGTTACGACATAAGGAAATAACATCAAACGCTGGTTAATCACCAATGAATGCCACTTTCAGCTGCGTGGAAGCAAACACTCTAAACAGTCTGAGCATGCCCTGTCTGAACACAAGTGCCAAGAAACAAAGACTATCGCTAAAGAACGTATTGTACATGTAACGTTCTTAAATCAAAAGACTAAAGTACAAAGTAGATACAATACTTGACAAGTGCTTTTAAAATAATCTCTCGAATTTAGCAGCAAGAAGGATAGTTATAAAGAGAACGATGCTTTAAAATTCAATATTGATATATCTAATACAAAACAATGTATCACTGACTGACTTTTTAAGTAAGATTGGTACTTAATTAACCTGTTATAACTGATAATATTTCAAAAAAGCACTCTGTACGTTGTATCTGGATGGTGAGATATGAAAACAAGAAAGAAAACAGGCCTTTTTTAAAGCAATAAAAACCACGTCAACGTTTACTGAATGTGTTTACAACGGTAACAGGATGTCTAGTTAATAAAAAAAAAACTGACATAAACAAACAGGGATTTTGTGCGGCAGGCTGCCTAGTTAAACTATAATGGACTGTCAAGAAACAAACATATTAATTATGTAATACAGATAGCCTATATGTAAGGTGGTTAGAAGTAAAAGCCTTTGCTTTGTTAAATACATGACCATAGATATGCCAGAAATATTGGAACAACTTGTGACAAATCAACAAAGTTCAAAAATAGACTTCTAGTCATCCTGTCCAAGATAAGTAAACATCAATGCACATAGACCCAATTGTATATTCAAGAACCCACTGCGGCCAGCTGTGGACTTGTTACACAAGTTTAATTTGTCTATACCAGATATCCTGCAGGGAAAATGAGAACTACACGGTATCAACTCGAACCACTGCGATTCATTGCTTTTGATTGTAAAGGACGAAAAATTACTATCACACAATGTGTTCTGTCTGCCCAAAATCTCATGAACGAAGTTGTGAACATGCATTGACGATTTTGAGGTAGACAGTTTGGTAAAGATTCAAGAAAATAAATTGAAGTTCCCGCATCTATCAGCAGGACTACATCACGTCTTTGTCATCCCAATGTTAACGGGATAACTGTAGCAGTAAGATCTAGCCACTATACCAGCTAGATGTCCAGGCTATGGAAACAATATGTTGATGGCGAGGTGTTCAATCTGGGAGAATTCAGAGAGGGATCTGACCATACATTATAATATCTAAACATACTGTACTAAACAGAAGAAGTGATAAGCTGCGACAACAGACTGAAATCGTAACTACGTAACATGCTTTCAACAAATGTGTAAACCTGCAGCATAACGAAGCCAGGAAAAGGGTAACAGACGCATTGATGCACCACAGTAATATTTCTACACATTGATATACCACAGTATTATTTCTACACATTGATACACCACAGTATTATTTCTACATATTGATACACCACAGTATTATTTCTACACAATGATACACCACAGTATTATTTCTACACAATGATATACCACAATATTATTTCTACACAATGATACACCACAGTATTATTTCTACACAGTGATACACCACAGTATTATTTCTACACAATGATACACCACAGTATTATTTCTACACAATGATACACCACAGTATTATTTCTACACAATGATATACCACAATATTATTTCTACATATTGATATACCACCGTATTATTTCTTCACATTGATATACCACAGTATTATTTCTTTACATTGATAAACCACAGTATTATTTCTTCACATTGATAAACCACAGTATTATTTCTTCACATTGATACACCACAGTATTATTTCTACATATTGATATACCACAGTATTATTTCTTCACACTGATACACCACAGTATCATTTCTACACATTGATACACTACAGTATTATTTCTACACATTGATACACCACAGTATTATTTCTTCACATTGATACACCACAGTATTATTTCTACATATTGATATACCACAGTATTATTTCTACACATTGATACACCACAGTATTATTTCTACATATTGATATACCACAGTATTATTTCTTCACATTGATACACCACAATATCATTTCTACACATTGATACACCACAGTATTATTTCTACACATTGATACACCACAGTATTATTTCTACATATTGATACACCACAGTATTATTTCTTCACATTGATACACCACAGTATTATTTCTACATATTGATATACCACAGTATTATTTCTTCACATTGATACACCACAGTGTTATTTCTACATATTGATATACCACAGTATTATTTCTACACATTGATACACCACAGTATTATTTCTACATATTGATACACCACAGTATTATTTCTTCACATTGATATACCACAGTATTATTTCTACATATTGATATAGTACAGTATTATTTCTACACATTGATACACCACAGTATCATTTCTACACATTGATATACCACAATATTATTTCTTCACATTGATATACCACAATATTATTTCTACACATTGATACACTACAGTTATATATTCAAACGTTCATATATCATTTTAATGATTCAAATGATTGATAAAATCAATAACATTTATATAATAATTCATCCTCCCTTAGTCATGAACCAAATTCTTCCTCAATTTCTCAGATCAGAATTATTACTCAGCACTTTCATCCCTTTCTTATTGTTCCTAATCTCGTTCCTCTAGATTCTGCTCCTTGTTCTACTAATCAGTAAGATGCTACCCTGCACACGTTTATGTCTAAAAACTGCATTAAACTATATATGGCTTTTAAACATACATTTAGCCACCAAACTAACACACTTCTTACTCACTTTCCCAAACTGCATGTGATGTTGTAGTCATCTGTGGGACAACTTGCCATTGAAGAGAATATCGAATCGTCATATATGTAGATATATTCTTTTCGTATCGGATTTACCATATCATTTCGATCTACAAACAACATTCTGTACTCGTATATACGATGGAAAATGGTCACAGTTGTCTGCAGATTCATTTGAAGGGAGATTATCAGGTATTTGATAAGGTCATTTTTGTTGTAAAACTCGATATAAACTACGTATTAAAATGTACGATTAAGACGAAATCTAGCATAAATATCCTTAAATATGTGCGTGTAAAGTCGCGAATTCAATCAATATGAAAACCGTGTGATGTTTGAAAACCGTGGTGTAACAAAGTTTAGCAACATTACTGTACTATATCAATGTGTAGAAATAATACTGTGGTGTATCAATGTGTAGAAATAATACTGTACTATATCAATGTGTAGAAATAATACTGTGTGTATCAATGTGTAGAAATAATACTGTACTATATCAATGTGTAGAAATAATACTGTGGTGTATCAATGTGTAGAAATAATACTGTGGTGTATCAATATGTAGAAATAATACTGTACTATATCAATGTGTAGAAATAATACTGTGGTGTATCAATGTGTAGAAATAATACTGTACTATATCAATGTGTAGAAATAATACTGTGGTGTATCAATGTGTAGAAATAATACTGTACTATATCAATGTGTAGAAATAATACTGTGGTGTATCAATGTGTAGAAATAATACTGTAGTGTATCAATGTGTAGAAATAATACTGTAGTGTATCAATATGCAGAAATAATACTGTGGTATATCATTGTGTAGAAATAATACTGTGGTATATCATTGTGTAGAAATAATACTGTGGTGTATCAATATGTAGAAATAATACTGTGGTATATGAATATGTAGAAATAATACTGTGGTGTATCAATGTGTAGAAATAATACTGTGGTGTATCATTGTGTAGAAATAATACTGTGGTATATCATTGTATAGAAATAATACTGTGGTATATCATTGTGTAGAAATAATACTGTGGTGTATCAATATGTAGAAATAATACTGTCTTATATGAATATGTAGAAATAATACTGTGGTGTATCAATGTGTAGAAATAATACTGTGGTGTATCATTGTGTAGAAATAATACTGTGGTATATCATTGTGTAGAAATAATACTGTGGTATATCATTGTGTAGAAATAATACTGTGGTGTATCAATATGTAGAAATAATACTGTGGTATATCAATATGTAGAAATAATACTGTGGTGTATCAATGTGTAGAAATAATACTGTGGTGTATCATTGTGTAGAAATAATACTGTGGTATATCATTGTGTAGAAATAATACTGTGGTATATCATTGTGTAGAAATAATACTGTGGTGTATCAATATGTAGAAATAATACTGTGGTATATAAATGTGTAGAAATAATACTGTGGTATATAAATGTGTAGAAATAATACTGTGGTGTATCATTGTGTAGAAATAATACTGTGGTGTATCAATGTGTAGAAATAATACTGTGGTGTATCAATGTGTAGAAATAATACTGTGGTATATAAATGTGTAGAAATAATACTGTGGTATATCATTGTGTAGAAATAATACTGTGGTATATCAATATGTAGAAATAATACTGTGGTATATAAATGTGAAGAAATAATACTGTGGTATATCAATGTGTAGAAATAATACTGTGGTGTATCAATATGTAGAAATAATACTATGGTGTATCAATGTGTAGAAATAATACTGTGGTATATCAATGTGTAGAAATAATACTGTGGTATATCAATGTGTAGAAATAATACTGTGGTATATCAATGTGTAGAAATTGGTGTATCAATATGTAGAAATAATACTGTGGTATATGAATATGTAGAAATAATACTGTGGTATATCAATGTGTAGAAATAATACTGTGGTATATCATTGTGTAGAAATAATACTGTGGTGTATCAATATGTAGAAATAATACTGTGGTGTATCAATGTGTGAAAATATTACTACGGTTTTTCGGTGTAGAGAAATCTGACTGTGTTTCTACAGGGTTTACATCACAGCACAAAAACAGACATGAGGTGAACGTCATTCTTAACAATTTATGTATCTTTAAATACACAAACATCTTAACAAACATTTACTACCTAGTTTGTCAACATAAACAACTTGATAAGTAACACCTCGAATTAAATGCATAATAAAGTTTAACTGTATTGGCAGATGAAAGGTTGGGGAATACTCGATATTTTTGACAATTTTAACAAGTTGAATAATTGACAACACAAACTTGTCGAGACATGGACAATTTTTAAAGATTCAGTTTAACTTTATAAGTCATGGACGTCTATGCCATAAAACTCAAAATGAATAACTGAATCTTGATCAGTTAAATTATGTCTTGAACAATATCTCTAACGAACAATAAATCGTGCCGAAATGAAAATTCGATCAGAGGAACATGAAGGCGGGTATACAAACTATCCATGCAACATGTAAAGCAATTTTAGGGCTGTCCATTGTCATTAAGCTTAGAACTCTGAACACACGAACAGCATAGCATAGCCTCAACTTACAAGACTACAATAGAAACAAAACACGAAAACATTTGCCAAGGTAGAGGAAACGATTAGAGTGGTTGATTAATATTGTTACAATCCCATACCACAAGGTGATACAGCAAACACAGAACGCAAGAACATATTTTATGATTTTATACCCCTACGGATGTTTGGTTCGACTGTTGATGTCATAATATTTGCACACATGCGCAGTTGAGTAATTTTGTATCTTTCAACATGCACTGAAATTTCCTCAGTAATGATTCTTTGTAAATAAACGTTGTCATTAGTTTAAATTACAACAATAAGGTAATCGACTTCGCGGCTAAACGACTGAACGAGACGATGGTATGTGTAATGGATTCTTTAGAGTCCAAGAAACTCATTGATCAAGTCACAACAGATGATGAAACCTTTTTAAACGTCTATAAATAAAGATCAGAAAGTTGTGCAGTTCCTCAAGTATTTAATCCAGGCCCACGTTATTGAATCAATTCCCAGTCACGAAGACGTTTGGTCGCTAAGGAATACCTCCACGGCACAAACAGCCTGTTATCTCTACCTAACGACGATTCTAACCTTTTACAGCAGAGGAAAAGGGGCACTGATAATTGTTCTTTCGCATGTCGGCGCACTCATGTAAAGACTAAATTTCTTTTAACTCACACATTTTCAAATACAGTCTTGAATATTTTATTGATAATTTCATACCTAATCACTTTAAAGACCCCGGGATTAGATTTAATCACGTGGTATCAAAACAAAAACAGGACATGCTAGAAACGAAATCAAATCAAATGCATTGTCTATTAATGACGAGTTTCAAGAACCTATTCTAATTCAAATATAGCACGATATGAAGTGCTATAGTTTAATCTGCCCAGCACAACCTATCAACTTTTCAACCTCCAATTTAAAACGGTGTTTTATTAACGTTGATAGCCTAAATCATATATTATCAATACATCATTGTTAAAAATCCATATCAAAACAGGTCATTGTTTCTCTAAAATGAGCTTCTTACCAAAAGCAAGCACTCCATGTCCATGCAAAATTAAACATGTTATAAAGACTTTTAAAAAACAAAAAAGAACACCACTTACCTGTTGACTGGAATTAAGAGCTGGTTGTGATGACGTCATTCTCCCGATGGAGTCATCGTCGTTGAGGAGTTTAGCATTACTGGGATTGGATAAACCTGGAAGACTGGTAGAATCACTGTGTTCCGTCTCATTTGAGGATTTACACTCCTCCAAAGTCTTACTGACGCAGGGAGGGGGACTAGTGCCTTTACTATCCTCACTGTCACAACTGTCCCCCGTACGTCTGTTGTTTGTCACGCTAACCTCCAACATGTCAACACTCCGGGCGAATGCATCACGGAGGTTGACAGAATGGAATGATACTATACTGCCGGTCCTCTTGGCCCTTTCTAGAGCATCTCGTCGCTTCAACGCTTTTTCGCGTCGCATCTGATCTTTATAAAACTCAGCAAAATTGTTCACTATAATGGGGATTGGGAGCGCAATAACTAGCACGCCACATATACAACACACACTGCCTACTATCTTCCCCGGCACCGTGGTGGGGAATATGTCACCATACCCGACAGTCGTCATAGTAATAGCTGCCCACCAAAACGTTTCTGGTATGCTAATAAATTTTGTTTTTTCTACGTCTTTCTCCGCAAAATATGCCAAACTTGAAAACAATAATATAGAAATAGCTAAAAACATAAGTAAAAGGCCCAGCTCTTTATAACTTCTTTGTAGTGTGTAGCCTAAAGACTGCAGTCCGGTAGAGTGCCTCGCTAACTTCAAAATTCTTAGGATTCTCATTATTCTGAATATTTGCACCACTCTGCGAACGTTTTGAAACTGCTCGGTTGTGTGCCTGTTCGTTTCCGTCAAACCCAAACTGATAAAATATGGCATAATTGCTAGCAAGTCAATAATGTTTAACGGTCCTTTGAAAAATTTCCATTTGTTTGGTGACGCCCAAAATCTTGCAAGGTACTCAAGAGAAAACCACCCTATACACACGGCTTCGATCAAAGCTAACTTTTCGTTGTCGCCATTGGCCTCCTGGAAACTGGGTATAGTGTTTAAAGTAAGGGCGATAGTGGACAGCACGATGAACAGGATAGATACTATGGCCACGACCTGAAAATGGTTGTAAAAACATCAACACCTTGAAATCTAACAGAACGACGGAAAAATAACTTCAGAACATTCAATAAGATGCGATTAATGTATTAATTAAGTTTGCAGCTTATTGAATTAATGGTACTGAACCATTTTCAAGTTGTTCCACTAGAATAAAAGGTAATTATTTCCACAACAGTGCACGTTTCGGTTAGTCATGTGATGGTTTTCCTTGTTTTGCTTCCAGTAACTAACGAAGAGCTGCAGTGTTAGTGATAGTACAGTTACGTCGCCTCTACAATGCAATGTATTACAAGCAGGACACCAGAGACAGACAGATAGGGCGGACGGTCAGAGACAGACAGATAGGGCGGACGGTCAGAGACAGCAGGTATAGTGGATTTAGTCAGGAGCTAAAGAGGGAAAATGCTAGAGACAAGACGAGGGCGTTTGTGTTGTATACGCAGAACTACCATGTTTGGTTATACTAGTTGTCGTGCTAACAATTCCGAGTATAGCGACAGTAAAGAGTTAGAGGCTGAAATGCTGAAAGTACAGATAATCACAAATATACAACAATAGAAAAGTCAATGTCCTGGAAATACCACACAAAAAAACACTTCCAGGGTCCCCAGTTAGACACAAAGACACTTACAGTGGCACCAGTTAGACACTGGTAACATACAGAAACACAAAGACACTTACAGTGGTCCCAGTTAGACACTGGTAACACAGAAACACAAAGACACTTACAGTGGCCACAGTTAGACACTGATAACACAAAAAAACCAGACATTGACAGTGGCCCCAGTTAGACACTGGTAACATACAGAAACACAAAGACACTTACAGTGGTCCCAGTTAGACACTGGTAACACAGAAACACACAGACACTTACAGTGGTCCAGTTAGACACTGGTAACACAGAAACACACAGACACTTACAGTGGCCACAGTTAGACACTGATAACACAAAAAAACAGACATTGACAGTGGCACCAGTTATACACTGGTAACATACAGAAACACAAAGACACTTACAGTGGCCCCAGTTAGACACTGGTAACACACAGAGACACAAAGACACTTCCAGAGGCCCAAGTTAGACACTGGTAACACACGTAAAGACAAAGACACTTACAGTGGCACCAGTTAGACACTGGTAACACACATAAACACAAAGACACTAACAATGGCCCCCGTTGGACACTGGTTGCACACAGAAACACAAAGACATTTACAGTGGCGCCAGTTAGACACTGGTTACACACAGAAACACAAAGACATTTACAGTGGCACCAGTTAGACACTGGTAACACACGGAAACGCAAAGACATTTCCAGTACCACGAAGTAAGACACTGGTAAAACATAGAAAAGAAGACGCGAACACATATGATGTACTCCCAGCTCGCTCACAAAGACATTGGTAACACACATAAACACAAAAGTGTCACCATAATAGTTTTTTAAAAGTTATAATAATCTACTGCTACACAACTTGCCTTGTCCAAATACTTTCATAATTTCACGAAATCGTCTACGTATCCCCCTATACATTATTAACTGAAAACAATATGAGAGGGATGTCAACGAATTTATACAAAAAAGCTGTAAATGATATTCATCTCACACCCAAGTATATATCTGGAGTGAAATTATTTACCTAAATGTCCTAAATAAACTTTCTTAAACTTTTGCCTTTTCACCTTTCAAGACAGGATATTTACTTTACCAAACATTCTAAAATTTCATGATTTTTCAGAAGGCTTATTGTGAATCCGATCTCTTTTTATAACTTTTAGAAACATTTTTAAGTAGTTGAGCGACTATACTTAAAAAGCATGCTAAGAAAGTAAAAAACCATGCAGTTGATGATATATTGATTTACAACTGTCTTAGATATTCAGAGGTTCTATTACCAGTCACTATCGAAAAAAATTGTTCCAACATGTTCATTCATCCGTCTTATATCCTAATCAATGGACCGTAAAATTCAAGAACCATGTATATGAAGCCGTATTTAACGATATATTTAATTAATAAACTGTCCGCTGAACAATCCTTTTCAATGCCTCGAACTTCTATATTTCTAATTCAAACAACTAAATATTCTAGAAAGCAAAACAGTATGGAGTATAAAATGTATGTTTGGTCCAATAAAGAAACACTTAGTGTTAAGTTGTATATAATTTTGGTGGACGAGCCGGAATATGGATACATGCCAGGACCAGAGTATAGACACATGCAAGGGAATGTGAGGGAGACATGCTAGAAAAAGTGATACATAGAGAGAAAGAAATCAGAGATAGAGTTTAAAAAAGTAGCAAAATTTGGAAACCATCATTAGTGCTGATGTTAGTGCGGTGATATATCAGTACACAGAAACCATCATTATTGCTGATGTTAGTGCGGTGACAGGACACAGAAACCATCATTAATGCTGATGTTAGTGCGGTTATATATCAGTACACAGAAACCATCAGTAATGCTGATGTTAGTGCGGTGATATATCGGGACACAGAAGCAATCATTAATGCTGTTAGTGCGGTGACATATCAGGACACATAAACCATCATTGATGCTGATGTTAGTGCGGTGACATATCATTACACAGAAACCATCATTAATGCTGATGTTAGTGCGGTGACATGTCAGGACACAGAAACCATCATTAATGCTGATGTTAGTGCGGTGACATGTCAGGACACAGAAACCATCATTAATGCTGATGTTAGTGCGGTGACATATCATTACACAGAAACCATCATTAATGCTGATGTTAGTGCGGTGACACATCAGGACACAGAAACCATCATTAATGCTGATGTTAGTGCGGTGACATATCATTACACAGAAACCATCATTAATGCTGATGTTAGTGCGGTTATATATCAGGACACAGAAACCATCATTAATGCTGATGTTAGTGCGGTGACATATCATTACACAGAAACCATCATTAATGCTGATGTTAGTGCGGTGACATATCATTACACAGAAACCATCATTAATGCTGATGTTAGTGCGGTAACATATCATTACACAGAAACCATCATTAATGCTGATGTTAGTGCGGTGACATATCATTACACAGAAACCATCATTAATGCTGATGTTAGTGCGGTGACATATCATTACACAGAAACCATCATTAATGCTGATGTTAGTGCGGTGACATATCAGGACTCAGAAACCATCATTAATGCTGATGTTAGTGCTGTGACATGTCAGGACATTACGATATTATGGATGATTCCAGCCACATTTTGATCAATTTTATCTTGTATCTGTTAAAGGCCTCAAATGTCACTTGACCAACGTCTGGAAATAAGCACCCGTGTTGACAATCACCTGGTAACTGATGTATAACTCAATTAGTCTTGAATAAAATAAACGTCATGACATTGAATAAACGTAATGGTTCGGTTGTGATGATGCATTTACTAATAACGTAAGTGATGGCATCAAATGATGCAAAATGAATAACAATAGAATATAAAATGATACTTTATAGTCACATTAAACCATATCAACAATAGGATAACAAATATAACAATTCTGAAATATGATACTAAGATAAAATAACCGTCTTAAAGACACTAGCTATGTAGTAATAGTGAGATAAGATACTACCGTCTTTAAGACACTAGCTATTTGTAATACTGAGATAAGATACTACCGTCTTTAAGACACTAGCTATGTAGTAATACTGAGATAAGATACTACCGTCTTTAAGACACTAGCTACGTAGTAATACTGAGATAAGATACTACCGTCTTTAAGACACTAGCTATGTAGTAATAGCGAGATAAGATACTACCGTCTTTAAGACACTAGCTATGTAGTAATAGTGAGATAAGATACTACCGTCTTTAAGACACTAGCTATGTAGTAATACTGAGATAAGATACTACCGTCTTTAAGACACTAGCTATGTAGTAATACTGAGATAAGATACTACCGTCTTTAAGACACTAGCTACGTAGTAATACTGAGATAAGATACTACCGTCTTTAAGACACTAGCTATGTAGTAATAGTGAGATAAGATACTACCGTCTTTAAGACACTAGCTATGTAGTAATACTGAGATAAGATACTACCGTCTTTAAGACACTAGCTATGTAGTAATAGTGAGATAAGATACTACCGTCTTTAAGACACTAGCTATGTAGTAATACTGAGATAAGATACTACCGTCTTTAAGACACTAGCTATGTAGTAATACTGAGATATCATTCTACAGTCCTAAAGACACTAGCTATAGAACGATGCTGAAATATAACACTACGGTATTAAAGACACTAGATATACCAACAGATATTCAGATATAATGCTACAGTTCTAAAAATAACTATCTATATAATTATTTTAATCAATGTGACAGGTTAACTCGGCGCTCTGAGACTTGAACAAACCCATTAAATAGCATAAATTGGCCTTTCGAAAGTAAAACCATTGTAAATCGAATGAATTTACCCTTAAAAGCTCGTGGAAAACAGTGTTCATTCTCTTGTCAATTTTTACATTTATTACAAAATTACAGTTCATCGCAGTACAGCTTACAGGTCATCGTCGTATAAACAACAGCTGCTCGCCGTAAAATTAACGAACAATATTCAAATGATTATTACAGTTCATCGCAGTACAAATTACAAGTCATCGCAGTACAAATTACAGTCGATCACAGTACAAATTACAGTCGATCACAGTACAAATTACAGTCGATCACAGTACAAATTACAGTAGATCACAGTACAAATTACAGTCGATCACAGTACAAATTACAGTAGATCGCAGTACAGCTTACAGGTCATCGTCGTATAAACAACAGCTGCTCGCCGTAAAATTAACGAACAATATTCAAATGATTATTACAGTTCATCGCAGTACAAATTACAGTCGATCACAGTACAAATTACAGCTCATCGCAGTACAGCTTACAGGTCATCGTCGTATAAACAACAGCTGCTCGCCGTAAAATTAACGAACAATATTCAAATGATTATTACAGTTC